CATGCCTGAAATTAGAGATCCAAGGATGGTGGTTCTAGGTCAGCCAGGGCAAATAATTAGCGAGACCCCATCTTGCTAACAAGCTCACGTCTCTAATCCCAGCTATGCAGGAGAACATAGGTAGGGCTGTTTCTAGGCAAAAACACAAGACCCTGTCTGAAGAATAACTGAAAGCTAGAGGGATGGCTCAAGTGAGTGCTTGCTTAGCAAACAGGGTGCCTTGAGTTCAAACCCCAGTGCCACCACCAAAAAGAAAAAAGAAAAAAATGTTAATGATAAACATTTTAGGTGGTAAGATTATGGTGGTTATCCCATTAATGGCCATAAGTTGCTTTTAGAATCAGACTGTGATTTAGTTTTAGTAAGTGAACAGCTCTTACTTTTCTGAGGGAGCAACAAGATCTGAAGAATACTACTCTTAAATACAGTGCACAACAGTTTAAAAATTAGTAATCTAAGTTATAAAGGCAGGTCAATTTAAATGAACACCAAAAATAAACTTCCAAAGAAAAAGGCAACTTTCCCTTCTGACCTAAACAAATCATTAGCACTAGTAAGACATTTCTGAATTTAGTAGCATGATTTAGGACCTCTAAGGGCCAGTCAGAATTCCAAACACTTGTAGGAATAATTTGCAAAATTAGTCACAAGTGAAGGTAAAGAGCAGTTAGCAAAGGCTAGGTCTCTTTCTCACGTCTGTGGCTCCTACAGAAACATTAAAAAAAGAATGTTTCTTGAACATCAGATTACTACAGCTGTTTTTAAAATGTATCTAGCTTCAAAGCATATCTGATAGCTTTTCAAGAAAATTAGATACAGTGGGACTTGACCACTTTTCACCTTAAACCAAACAAGGATCAAAGCAAGAAATGTAGTAATGGAGCAAATACTGAGCACTTACTATATAAAATGCATTATTAGTTCATTTACTCTCAGTAACATCCTAGGAAGTGGATACCACTACTATTTTTGTTTTTCAACAGAAAAAACTCAGAGCTGGCAGAGTGGTTCCAGTGGTAGAGTACCTGCCTAGCAAGTGCAGGGAACAGGCGCTGAGTTCAATTTTGTTTCACCGATTTAAAAAAAAATTTAAAAAACTAAGAATTAAATAACTTTCTCCACATCACAGAGATCAGAATCAAAGGTCAGACTCAAAACCTAAGTTTTATATTCATTGCCTCCATCCAACAAGTATCAACACTCCTAGTGTTGTTAGGCTCCATGCAAGCAACTGGGATATAAAGTAAACAAAACAACAATGTCCCTGCCCTCCAGGAGTTTCATGTTTACTGATGGAAGAAGACAGTAAACAAGTATGAGCATAATTATATAACTGCAGATAGTAGCACAAACTATGGCCGAAAACTACAAACGGCTCTAAGGACATGAACAGAAGGCACTCTTAATACAGGACAAGGGGAGATGTCAATGTCAAGGCTGACCCTGAAGTAAGCAATGCTTAAGAGATCTGAAGCAAAAACTCCTGTGTCATAACAAATACATGTGTGTTCCCTCCCCCCCTTCCCTCTTCCTACACACACTCTCGCATACATAAATGTACATATGTATGCTGCATTTCATTTTTCCTTGAGGATTGACTGCTCTATTTGAAAAACCTTTAAAGACAGGTAGGTGTTTTAGGAGAAAATGAGTAAGTCACCTAAACATTCACCTATTCCAACCCAACATTACTCTAAACTTAATCCTAAATTCTAAACCAATCTTACAGTTCTTGTACTTTAAGGACAAGCACCCAAGAGAACACTCTGAGAGGAGTTTCAGGTGTACTCTTTGCTCTGGCCCTGCGGTAACAATGCTATTTTCAAGGAATAAGTATTCAGATTCTAATATTGCCTACTTCCTTTAAAATTCCTTCTGATCACTTAGTTGACAAATACTGTACTTGTTCTCCCATTCAGTCTCAAGGGACAAGGACAAAGGACAGCAGCATCCTTTTTATTTTTAGTAGCCACATAAACACAGGACCACAACCCATTTGTGAGTTTTAAAATCAATTTAGTAAGTCATAGTGAGCAATTTTAATAAAATCAGTGGGTTATATAAGACCAAATATTATTTAACTTTACTTTTGCTACACAGCATATAGGCACTGCTGCAGAACACATTTCTTACTGCAGTACACAGTCACAACTACCATTACAAAATCATTAGCACAGAGGGAAGCTCCAAGCTCACTGCCTACTTGATCTAAAGACAACTCAGGAGATTAACAACTGATCTAAAAAGGTTTGAGCACTGGCTCTTCTTTATCCTGTGAAGTGAAGTTGCATGAAGAAAAACAAGTTGTTAACAATGAGTTTGGGGGAGATTTCTTAGCATTTTTCATCTGTTTAATCCTACAAGGTCTAATTGATTGAGAACATAAAGCATTCCACAGTGGCCAACTACTTGCTCCTGTGGCTTGAGCTGAAGCTGGACTAGGTGATCAGGTGACCTGAAGAACACCTGGCTTTAGGCCCTAATCAGTAGAGCACAGTGTGGTAAAGGGAAAGAGAAGCAAGAGCCTACAGGCCTGGTTCTAAACTGCAGTTTCTCATTCCAAAATGACAGTGCAGCCCAGGTGATATCCAAGTTCCTCAGACTCTGAACTTTTTTTTTTTTTGGCAGTACTGGGGTTTGAACTCAGGGCCTCTCACACTTGTGAGGCAGGTGCTCCCACCACTTGAGCCACTCTACCAGTGGCTCTTCATTGAGTAAAAACTAAACACACATTCAATAAACTAATTCCAAATATTTTACAAGGTTAACCAAGTCATACCTACATTTTCATGTTCTTATGTAAAGACTTTAGATTTTAAAGAAAAACGTTTCAATTTTTCCTTCAAAAATTTTCACTGACAGACTAAAAAGGTGACAATTTCTACTGATTTGACATCTCTAACTAGTTGTCCTCCAACGAGCCCCATTCAGAAAGTCCTACCATTCAACAGTTCTGCCAAAAAGCCTGCTCATATGCAAAAGGCTTACCCCCAAAACAACAATCGATCAGCTTTTTAATGCTCAGTGTTCACTTTTCTCCACAGATGGTTTAATTCTTCAGAAATAACACTGAAATGAAATCATTTATGAAACCCTTTTGACAGAATGCCTACTACATGCTGAGTACACTCCCTCCTGCTTCACAAACGTGTGTCATCCATTCCGTCACAAAGACTGATACTTCTATTGATGTCTACAAAACAGGCCAGGTGAGCGTACTTGCAAGTCAAAAACAAATCTTCATTTTGTCTGTTAGTGAAAACACTTGAAGGCAAACGGGGCTCCGTACTGTCACAGGAGACAGGTCTGTGGAGCTCTAAAAACGTAAATGTTCCAGGCCACCATAAAGCAAACCCTTTGTTTTGTTTCTTCTCGAGTTGTCTCTAATGTAGAAATTCTGTAGGCCACAACAAACTAAGGTTTTCTGCAAATCACCTTGCTATAGTCAGCTCAGTTAGTTCAGATACAAAATTTAAGTTCATTTAAATTTGCTAACAATATTCTCTGCATATGACATATGGAATATCATCAATTTAGTAAAAATTCAAAGTAAGGAAACTTAAAATTATAAATACACTAGTTAAGAAGTTGGGCCCTATAATTAGGCTTTTATTTAAAAATAAAACCATGTAACATGTTCATTATAAAAAAAAATTGAGCAAAAACTGGTATGTAACTTCTAATTCTTTTTCAGTGTACATGGATAGTTTTTAAAATGGGAACATACTGAGTACTAGTTAGGGTTTTAAGAAACCCAACCAAATTAATAGTTTAAGAGCAGAGACTTTCATGTCATGTCAAGAGAAAGAGGAGGCGGCCAACTGGCCAAAGACCTCTGTCAGCACTCTGCTTTTCTCCACAGGCTCACATCACTGTGGAGACCAAACAGCTTCTCCATGACTGACCGCAGCAACTCAGAATTCGAAGAATGTACTTCTGTTACCAAATGAGTGTTTCTCTCCCCTAGCTCCAACGTGAAAAGTTCTAGGAAAGAACCCTAACAGTAAGGCTTAGCTCAAATGTCCATTCCTGTAGCAGGAATCTGTAAGAAGAGGGTGGCTCCCATGTGTCCCCTGAAGAGGTATGGCAGACAGAGTTAGAGGAGAAACAACAGGAGCTGGGCAGCCACCTCAAACCTGGGCTGCCATCTTTTACAAATACTGTTTTGTAATCTGTTTCTTGCACTGAACATAGTAGGAGATACATAAAGCAGTAAAGTATTTGAAAATCTTTCTTAAAATAGATACTCAAGTCCCCAAAAGTTCAGTACCGTGAGCATCTCCATGTCAATAAACATTATTTTAAAAAGTTCTAATAGCTTACATAGAATTCTAATTTTTTAAATTTGATTTTTACTTAAATCCAGAAAAAACATATCCCATCACACTCTTCTTTGAATACAATTTTCAAAAAGAATTTTATGAAAGTATCAACCAGTGACATCTTCGCCACACCTTTTCAGAAACTACTCCAAAGGATGCTTTGTGGGATGTGGGGGATTTATGGGGAGAATGGAGACAATAAGTTGATCCTCTAAGACTCAGAGTAAAAACCTACCTGTCATGCAGGTTTTTCTTAAACAAATGTCTTTAAAGAACAAGACATACTACACTCCAAATTAAAGCAGGAAAAGATTTGTCCTAATCTAATTATAGTAAGACTGAAGATTAAAAACAAGCATACTATAACTCAACTAACTGAGGGAATTTTGTGACAAGAATAAAAAAGCAGCACTTGTGAAACCTAGGATGAAAAGTTAAGAGTAACACTGTCTCCTGTCTCTCCTACTAGAAGCAAAGGCTGTGCCCCAGTGGGATGCAAGCCAACCTCCCTGGTCTGCTAACATTATTTATGAAGATCAGGATTATTCGACTCATTTCCCTTGCTAATATCATGCTTACCAATCAATTTCTCAGTAATACTATGGCTTTTTATAAGCAAGAGCACACACTGAGCCACCTGTGCACAACACTAACTCGCTGTGCCTGAGAAGCTGATGCCTGGCCCTTGGACCTTGCTCACTCGGCCAAAGTGACAGGTGACAAAGACCTAGAACTGTCAGCCAGTCTCCTTTCCGACATCTCTTTCATACTCTCTTCTTTAGAAAACTACTTCCAAAAGTCTGATGACAGGCAACATTAAATGGTCTTTAAGCAGAACACACACTACCTGGCTGAGACAAGAGAAAGGCATGAGTAAAAAGATAATCACTGAGGAAGGAGGAATCATTAAGGAGCAGGAAGTTATTAAGGCAAATGTGTCCAGCAAGAGTAAAGACCTTTATATCCCCATATTTCAGGAGAGTTCAGAACAAGATTTGCAAGATACCAAAAGCATATACGGAAGGAAGTAGAGCAACTTCTCTACAATATGACAATTAAAGGGAACCAGAACCCAGTCAAGCCATACCCATTTCAAAACATGAAGTTTCTGCCATCACTGCTGCCTGTTGACTGCCTCTCTCTTCTAAAGCTGCCCCTGCCAAGGGTATCTACTGTTACAGCGGTCTAAAGGCACATCAGCCACCAATGTTGCACTGAGGGTAGGGGTCAAGACTGAAACAGGCAGGCATTCAAATGAGAGAGAGATCAAATCACCCAGGAGTGATGATACTCAAATCCTTTTTTAGCAGTGAAATCCTTTTTCTCAAATGAACTTACAAGAACCAAGCTACATAAAGTAAGTAACAGATAAAGTTACTGGATAAGAAAAAAGTTATCAGACTCATTGACATGTACTTAAGAGGTCAGTGAAAACAAGAAGGCTGTATTTAACATGAATATTTTAAATGAAAGATTACAGTAGACCAGAGCATTCTATCAGACTTAACATCCAATTTATCCTGTCTTTTTAAGTCCACAGATCCAAGAAATCACAAAGGTAAGTGGTCTGAAATTAGTTCTAATGGCTCTCCTAATAAATTCGCAATCCTCCTAAAACCTACCCAGCAGCTTAAAAAAGAAATGACAAGGAATGTTTGCTTGAAAGGTTAATTAGAATAACAACTGCCATCCTTATCATGAGCTCTTTACCAAAAATAAGGGCAAGAACTATGTGCAACTGACAATAAGCAATAAAGCCATAACAGAGTACTATCACCTCTTGACCTGTTTTGTGTTCTTGGGTCATTGCATAACTCGAGTCAGGAGGAAAGCACACACCAACAGATGTCCTGGGCGGGCTGGCATCTGCCAGTGGTGCACTTGCCATACAGCTTTGTAGGCCAACATGTACAGGCCTGAACCCTACAGAAGAGCTGTGCATTAACACAACCCTCCTAATCAATGACATAAGGTAGATGAACAAAGATAGCAGAGTGCTTTATTCTGGTCCGTCACAAAACCAGTTAACCTGGTAACACAAATAACCACACTGTTGATCCCCAGTGTGTTAAAAGGTGGCATTTAGCACATTTTTCAGCTTCTTTTAAATGGTTACAAACATAAAAATTCAAATAAACTTAAGAACACCCTCCAGCATCTTTTACTAAGGATCTACACAGTAAGCTTGTCAGAAATCAGCTCTGTATACTGAAGAGGTGGTGGTGACAATAAGGGCATAAAAAAGGCAAAAGGACAGACAGCTTTACCGAGTAATCTGTCCTACAGATTTGCTACTGTAAAATTAACTGCAATGTTGCTAAGAAAAATAATTCTAAGACCTTCTTGTTCTGTACACTGCTGCTCACTTAAAGTTGGATGAAGCCCATTATCCTGACCTATTTTTATTATAACAAAGAGAGACAAAATCTGGCTGAAAAGGCAGGTTTCTTTTTTATCAATAGGAAAGCAGTCACTTTTCAGCACATTTTCGTCTCTGCCCTTCCCACCTTTACCTAAGAATGCTCAAGTTCATTTTTACCCAGAGTATAGGGACACAGATTATATCTTCTGACCTGAGGATAATGAAATACCTCTTCCTCATAATTAAGGCACAGGCTCTGCAGCCAGACTTTGGTTCATAATCAGCTGTGAAACTCTAGCAAGGTACTTCAACTTTGTGCCCTGGCTTCCTCCTATGTATGAAATAATAGAAGATTAGTTCATAAGACTGCTGTAAAGACTAAATGAAGAATAGAACTGAACTGAGTAAGTGTGAAACATTTTAAGCATTAAATAAGGGCTCAAAGTTATTAATTTGGAAGAAAAGCTTCAAAAGGGGTCAAAATGGACCAACAGCAGAATCCATCAGCAAATTTACATAATAAACTTCCTGACCAAACTTCTAAAACATGATAGATGAATTCAAAGAGAATTCTCATGACATTCCGTACCATTATTCGGAGAAGCTGCTCCTTAAAAGCTTACAAAAATATCTTGGAGTTGAGGAACACCAAGCAACGACTTTCTTCACAGCTTTAAAAAAAATAAAACAAATCCCTCTGGGCCCACAGGTGATGACAAGCAAGAATGTGGCTCCTGTGTTCAGCTCCAACTACAGCTATAGAGCTGTTTAAAATTTAAGCAGGAAAAAGAAAGGACATTTGGCTGCCTTATTCCTGGAACTACAGAGCAAGACCGTAAGACGGGAGGAGCTGTGGGAGTATTTTCACGACGTGGGACAGGGGGCAGCAGTTTGCAAGTTTGCATCGGGATGCTAAGGACAGGCAGTTGAGGGCAAGCGATCGCGCACACAGGCTCCAGGGAGGGAAAGCCTGCTGGAGGTGAGTCCGTGCTCGCAACCAAGAATAAAGACACTGAGCAAGTAACAAAGCCTGCACGGAACGCAATGCAACCAGTGCCCCGGCTGCCGAGAGAGCGCCGTCTCGGAGCCGGCTGCAGCAGCCTAACGTTAGCTGGACGAATCGCCCCTCACTTTAGGCACGTGTGAGCCACCATCTGCACAAGGCCACCGCTGCAGGACAGTTCAGGGACCTCGGGAGGACCGACCTGTCTCCCACCCGAGGGCGGTCTCCTCCCGGGAGTCAGCACGGTTTGTTTTTTTCTTTGGGGGGGGGCGGCGGCGGCGGCGGCGGCTCCTCCATGGCGGCGGCAGGGGTGACGGCGAAGGCGGGAGGGGGGACCAGCTGGGCGGCGGCTTCTCTCATCCGTGCACCGAGCCCCGCATGGCCGCGGCGGGCAGGAGGCTGCAGCCTGGCGCGGGGAACCGAAGCCCGAAGTGCGGGAGTGACTCGGCTCCGCCTCCGCCTCTAGCCCGCCGCAGGAGCCGTGCGCGCCGCGGCCATCTTGGTGGGGACGGCGGCCGGCCGAGCGCCGGGGACGGCGGGCGGCGAGGGACAAACTTCAGAGGGCGGAGGGCGCGGGGCGTGGCCGTGGGCGTGGCCGAGGGTGGGAGGGGCGGGGCCGAGGGCGGGAGGGGCGAGGGCGGGAGGGGCGGGGCGGAGGAGTGCGATGCACACGGCGCGCCAGGTGTCGGCGTCCGCTGCTCTCCCATGCCGCCAGAGTCTGCACGCGCTCGGGCCGGGCTGGGCCGCGGTGGGCTGGGCGCCTCGGGTCCCCCGACCAGGTCTTGGGCGGCGAACAAGTGGACCCGAGGAAGAGGCCGTGCTGTGTCGGATGGAGGATCTGCTAAACGCTTTGTAAACTTGACCCTGCGGATCGCCGCCGCCCGAGGTCGACGTCTTTGCGAACTCGGATGACGTCACCCGCACGCCCACGGCTCTGGCTGGGAAGAGCGCAGCCTGCGTCCAACTCGCAAAACTTAAGATTGTTGAGCCTAGAAATAAAGTGTCTGGACTCTCGGGACGTTGAAGTGACTCTCACACCAACCAAGTGGAAAAGAATACAGTTTTCACCCGAGCTTGGTGGTGCACACCCTAATCCCAGCACTCGAGGCTGAGGCAGGAAGGTCACGAGTTCGAGGCCAGCCTGGGCTACGTATCAAGAACCTGTCTCAAAACACAAGACATCAACAACAAAAACATTTTAGTCCTACTCCAGAAAAAAAGAAAAATTTTACTACAATGAAAGGAGGAGGAACGAAAATAAAAAAGTTCTTAAGATTATTTCAATTGTGGGAAAACTATTCAAATGCCAATGCATCCTTTATTCTTAGAGCGTGGGGCTTCAACCTTAAAGTCGCAAACATTTACATTTCCCATGGATTTCAATCTGGAGTCCGTTCGAAAGTAGCATCATTTACAGTTGTGTTTCATTCTAATGTGCTGATTTAAACAACAACAAAACCTCATTCTGTTGGGTTTTACATATAAAATACATATTTGAACAAATGTTGGTAAGAAAATCGACCAAGACAAAAATTAAACGGGTAAGACTTAAAGGCCAGTTGCAAAGTTCAGAGATGTCTTTAGAGAATGCTTCCTTCTGTTTTCTTTATTACAGCAGTCTGTATCAGTAGGCCTGGTAGATAGTGCTGAATTTCTGAGTTGACATTCATTTTATTTTTTCAACAGCATGCATTCAACAAGCACTTATTAAATGCACGTATGTGTCAGGACTGTACTAGATGCTGGGGATACAGCAGTGAGCAAATCAGCCTCAATCTTTCCCTCATAGAGCCTGATACGAAGAGAAAATAGAAAGCAAAAACAAGTGTCCAAAGGCAAGAAGCAGATTTATCTGAATAAGAGCTACAGACTTTGTTTCTTTAACTGAGACTTCATGTATTTATTTATTTATTTATTGGTGGTATTGAAGGGTTTCTTGTATCTTTACTTTTATTTTATCTTTGAACTAGCATACATTAAAAATACAAGGGGATTTTACTGTGGTGATTCCATATGTGCATACAGTGGTACCTTGAACAAGTTCACCCCCTGTGTTATTTTCCCGTTGCCCCCCTCCTGCTACCCCTTATTTCAGTGTTTGGTGGCTTCATTGTGCTGTCTTCCCAAGTGTATATGTAGTGTACTCCCTCTTCTCCCTCTACAGATCTCGTCCATAACTGGTTCATTTCCCTGGTGTGAAGAAAGCTCATCAGTGTTTGTTCCCAGTTTTCTGTGGTTCTCCTTCTCCACTTAAATTCCTTTTGCAATTTGCTGAGCCAGAACCCTTCTTAGAAGTTGTATTCGGGATTTTAGATGTTAAATAATAAGATAAAGCCCTCCCCTTTGAAAAACACTGGACTGTTGTGTATTCTTCCATGTTTGTATTCTATGGAAGTGTGACTTGAAGCCAGCTGATGTGCACACAGGTGCATCCAAATCACAAAACTCTTGACAGACAAATGAGTCTTAGGGAGACCATGACTTCATGTTTTCTTCCTTTTCCACTTGTGTCCTGTTTTAGTCCTAATTTGCATTCAACTAACCATATATGTGTAGAAACCTAAATTTAAGTGCAGGGACTTTTGCCCCACCCCCACCCTGAATCCCTGCATGCAGGCTGACCCCCTCCCCAGGCCACTTCTGCATCTCCAGGGCGGGAAACAGGCCCTCACAGCACCCACTTCTGTGGCCCCCGAGTCCTTTCCTTCCTTTTCAGCCTTCTCCACTGTGGTCGCTCCTTCTGTGGTCTGCCTGGCCACCCAATGTCTTGAGTGCCCAGCACTGCATCTGACCTCAGATAGGAGCCCCATAAATATTGTTTTGAAGGAGCTAAGGATGCTCCTTCAAATTATGCCAGATTGACACATTGACCATTTCACTCTGAAGTCACCTGAGGAGCTGTAACTTCAGATGTAACTTGGCCTGCTGATCATGTCCTACATGCAGCAAGACATAAGGGGCCTTCACATGGCAGTACCGGGAAATTTCCTTGATCCCCAGTGACTGGTAACTGGTAGCGGGGGCTTCGGTGAACTTGAATAAACAACTGAAAACACCCTTCCCTTCCAGCAGCATCGCTTAGTAACAGAGCTCCAGACTTCCCCATTCGCCCGTCACTCCTTCACAGGTGTGTTGTACATCGTCTAGAAAAGTACCAGCATCACGCTTTGCTCATTTCTTTGGACTTCCCTTGTGAAGATCTCCACGTACATATAAAATTATGAAAACTTGCTTGCTTTTCTCTTGTTAATTGGCTTTTATTTTAACTACATTCTTCAATCCATCCAGCTTAAAAAAACATCAGAAAAAGGGGCTACAGAGGATCTCTGGCCCCTGTGGTTCCAGTGAGTAGTCTTTTGCCTCTTAATTTGTCACTGTTTAGCACATGGCTGCTCTCACTGCTTTTAATCATGTCTTGGAAATACTGGCAGAAAAGTGCCCATCACTTTATATCCCAAAGAATGAATGATTGCATTCAGGCTTATTGAATCTCTTTATTGGTTTTGCTTGTTTGTTTGTGGAGCTGGGGTTTGAACTCAAGACCTTGTGTTACTAGGCAAGCACTCCACCACTTGAGCCACAGTCCTGGCCTAAATTTCAGTATTTTAAAATGAGTTACAAAAGCTCAAGATCTAGTTTAGGTTGAAGTTCATAAAATTCTTAACTTTATTCACCACTAGTTTGAAGCCCGTCTGTCTCTCTCTTTCTCTCTCTCTCTCTCTCTCTCACACACACACACACACAAACCAGTTTCATAATTATAGGGTAGTGCACACTTACAAAAAACTGTTGTAACAGCTAGCATCTTACCACGCTAGTGTATTAGGAAAAAGTTAAGTTTATGGGTTTTGGCGCAAAATGATTCACAAAGAATTTTTGTGCCAAATTATGCAATAAAGTTTTGTTCTTACTTAAAACAAGCTCTAAAACTACAATATTAACCTTATTCTTAGCATGATGCTGCATTTTACTTAAAATAGCTTTCTCCTGTCTCAGTGGGGTTCACAAACTCTTCCACCCAGGTTTCTGTGGGAACCTCCAAAGATTCAGGCAGCCCTGGTCCTTTCCATCCCACTAGCCCCCCTACAGCTCTGCCCAGCCCTGCAGAACGGAAAAGACAGGCTTCCCTGTCTGTGCATGAGTCATTTTAACTCCATCACACTCAGAAAGACAGGCTTGATGAAAGAGAGCAATAAAAACCTCACTCCTGATGAGGAGAAGCTAAACGGAGCATTACACACGTTGATTTTTTTCCCCCATAATGATAGAAGGACATTTATTTCTACCTACTAGTGAAACACAAGGAAGTACTGAATGCACACCGAATATAATCAGTTATCACACTTTTTAAATAGTCCTTGTAACACTGTCTCATCCTTCTTGTCCAAGTGGTGGGAAGCTAGATAAAACCTCTGTGGTTTTTGTTTTGTTTTCTGAGAGGTGATTTGCCTACTTTTGTTAATTCTCCACCAGGATACCAATCTCTCCTTTTTTCAGACATTCTCCTCTGCAAAGTATAAACTAAGTGCCCCCGACCCGGGGCTCCCAATCATTAAACAGAGGAGTAAAAGTCACAAGCTTCAAAAGAAAAAAAAGTGTGGGGGGGGAGTTTAGAGTAGTGTGTCTTAGGTAAAGGAATGAAATGAAAAGAGGGAAAGAAAGTGGCACCCAATGTACAGAAAGTGAGAAAGAATGCAGAGGGTGGGGAGACAGTCTTCACAGTAAGAAGCACCACTTGGTTGTCTAGAAGAGCAGGCAGTGAAAGGGGAGCCCACAGTTCTCCATTCCTGCTCTGACTTCTGCGTTCGCCTCTCCAAGATCCTGCCCAGGTGAGGAACAAATAATAACTCAAAACATTGAAATCCCTGAGGGAGCATGCTCAGCTTGTGAGCCAAGCACTTATACCAGCCTGCAGCAAATGGTGGAGGGATTTTGCCGGATTCTCAAGACAGCATGTCTCCTCCTGATGGTCAGGTGGGAAGTTAGGAAATTGTACACTGCCGACTGAGGTTCCAAAATTATCTTCAGATCTTTGTAAAGCAACAGTGGACACTTTGCAGGACATGGGAGCAAGCACAGAGAAGAGAGATGACCAATCAGCAAGGAACGCTACACCCTCTGTCAGGGGCTTCTGCCCCTCACTTCTGCCCTTCAAAGCCACTACTGAGTGGCTCTCTCCTGACTCTGGGAAGACTTTTGGGGCTCCAGCCAGGCTGTCCTAACCTGACAGTTGGGTACTGCCCTCAGTGTCCCTATAACACCTTGGGTAAATTATTATTTTAGGACCATCTAGCAACTATCTGTGTCTATATAGTTGATTGATTACCTGTGTGTTTCTTTCCCTGTGATCTCTCAAGAGTAGTCACTGTTTCGCTCTAACAATTGTATCTTTAGACCAAGAATAACTCCCTGGACATGGTACAAGTACAGAAGATGCAGTGGATAATGTACGAATGCATGGATGGATGGATAAATGGATGGATCTAACTGGGGAAATAAACCCAAGATAAA